CCCGTGAGACCCCGCACAGCCCCCGTGAGAACCCGCACAGCCCCCTGAGACCCCGCACAGCCTCCTGAGACCACACACAGCCCATCTGAGACCCTGCACCCCCGAGACCCTGCACAGCCTTCCTAAGACCCCGCACAGACTCCTAAGACCCCGCACAGCTTTACTGAGCCCATGCACAGCCACCTGAGATCCTTCATTGGAGACAATAGACCGGCACCCTGGAGCAGCTCAAAGTATGTAGCTCCATATTATTCTGCATGGATATATAATGCATTGCTGGGATTTGTAGTCCTCTATAGCCGGTTGCAATTCAGCATTGCTGTATGATGTATCACTGGGACTTGTAGTCCTGTATAGTTTATGATATTATTCTGCATTGCTGTATAATGTATTGCTGGAATTTGTAGTCCTCTGTAGCTGGTGGTATTCTACATTGCTGTATAATGTATTGGAGAGATTTGTAGTCCATCTACAGCTTAGAGTCAGTAGCAGAACTACCAGGGGCGTTTGCAGCAGGGACCGGGCCCTGGCACTTCACCAGTGTCCTAAAATCATTAGTCTGTATTGTTCTAGAAAAACTGTCACATGACACTGAAAAAAAGTATCGTTAATTGGTATTGGTGAGTACTTGAGGAAAAGAATCGTTTGCAGGTAAATCTCTACGACTCATCATTGTTATGTTTCCTATAATCCGATTTATGGTGAAATCTGATTGGTTACTATGGATAACTACAATTTGCAGTTCAATATTATGCTTGACATTTTCTATATATAGACAAAAGAGAATAAAGAAATAGGGCACTGCATATAATGCAGTGAAAACATACTGAGGTCTAGGCATCCAGATAAGGACATATGGCAAACGGCTGACCTTGCCTACAGGGGCTAGCAATCTGCTAATTCACGCTTCATGTAATACTGTAATGCTGCAGCCGCAAGTTACTTCCTCTTACCTTGGGGTGCATGTAGTGTAATTATGCATCACAAATTAGTCCATTGCAATGAATATGATCATCCCCCCCCTTGTCGATGTCACATCCCCACCTGGTTACATTGTTCTCCTCTGTCATGTTAGGACTGCACTTCAACACAGGTTCCTGTTAACTGTGTCACTGAGTCACATAGGCTTGTTATGTGAGATTACTCTAGGCTACAAGCTGTTCACCCCCCCCCGGAATCAATATTCCAACAGGGCCAACCCTGCTACTATTCTCTTGACATTTGACAGATAAAGTGGGTGGTGAAGAGTTAGTAGATTAGGGGAAGGGAAAAGAGCGCATTTACATCTGGAGACTACATCAGATATGTTGGATGTATACAACAATATCCCTTTGACATATGTGGAGCTCTACAACCGCATGCATGCAGTAGAACACCTTAGCATAAGAAAGGTTAATCCAGCTGCCAATTCTCTACGTCTTCTCTGCTGCACAAACCAACCAGAGGTGGAGAATTGACTGCTCCTTAATGCAATCTTTACTGGAAAGGAAGAGATCTATTGGGAATGAGAAGAGGATGAGGTGGACTTACAAAAAAAAAGCCACCCCTTGAAATTTCCAGCCAATGGCAGCACCACTTCAGGGAAGGGGAGGGTTGTATTATCCAATGGCATCAAATAGACATTAGGTCTAATTTTTTTCCACAGTCTTTTTTGTAAGCATAGAAGAATTTCATTTTTTAAAACAAGTGCTTAATTTTTATTGTCTGTTCCTTTTGTATCAAACTGACTATTGACTAAGCAAAAAAAAAAAAAGAAAAACAAACAAAAAAAGAAAATACAAAAAAGACAACACGAAAAGCAACAGATTTTTTTTTCCTCCAGTTTTTCTATATTTTTGCATGGATACTGTTCATTGGAAATTCAAGATACGTGCAACAATATTGGATTTTATACTTTATGAATTTTCTATGAGAAAGGTAAGGTACCATATTCTTTATTCATTGTAATCTGTGATCAATGCAGTCTGTCAAATTATTTGTAGAAACCTTGTGTTCTGTGTTATATAGGATGCTGCTATACACTCATAACAATAAATTCACTGTACGGCTGATTATACTGCATACATTACCACCTATCTCAGTGCATGCAGAGCAACATGATTCTTAAACTGACACTGGCTGTCTTTGCCTGCCTGGCTGTGCAGTTCTTTGTGCCTTCAATCCAATTCAGCAGTCAGATCACAAGCCAATGGTCCTTGCCATTTGTGTTTTGCAACCTATAGATTGTAAGATTAGGTCACCCTTGTAAATTCCCTGTTTTACGTATTATCAGACCACTGTCTTAAGTTGCATCTGGCACGGTCTACTTAACCATGGTTTTTTAATTATAATAGATGGATGGATGGATGGATGGATGGATGAATAGATGGATGGATGGATAGATAGAGGGATGGATGTGGTGTACACATTAGGTGCAATGGATTTGCTGCTCTTTGTGTGAAGTGTACAAGGCAGGTTAAGCATGCTTGTGCGAGCGTGTGCCTTGAATAACTAATAATCGTTTTTATGGTTGGGTGCAAACAAGACTGCTTACATTACAATTACTCTGGCTTGCCATCTGTGATGCCAGAGATTGATGCACCTATGAAGCTGACAGAGAACAATGTGCTTGAATTGACATACACTTTTTTTGGGGGGGGGTCTGGTTTAACCGCCACGTACAAGGTGCGGATGCTGAAACAGAGCCTATTATATCATGGAGACGGGATAGCAAGGCTAATGCATTGCTGTGTCTATGTCAAGTTATTAAATGCAAGATAGCAACTTGTGGATCACTGCCTCTCACATGGTTTGGTGCATGATACGGATCAGTGTGTCCACTGTGTATGTGCCAGTAGAGAATATGAGATTTGTGTACAGTTGGTGGAAGGAGGAGGGGTGTAATCAGAGTAAAAACAGCATCCCTAAAGCAGCAGTAAAGGGATAGGGGGGAAGGGTGCCATTTCCACATTGTTGGTTGCCATGGAAACAGTACAGGCTAGCTGGCATGCTTTATATGGGCTGGGTGCACTGTAAAATGAATGGACGTGGAAGGTTGATGTGGAAAAGAAAAAAAAAGTCCAGTTGTTACAAATGGACACATACAGTATATAGGAATTGGTGTTGCTAGAAAACAAATTGCAATTCTATTACATCGGAAAGACAGAATGATGCTTCCTGCATGTCAATGTGCAAGGATCTTTTTTTTTTTTTTCCTTCCTTCCTTCTTTCTTTTTTTTTTGGCAAAATAACACAGAGGGACCTCAACTCAGCTGCAGTCATTGCAGTCAATGTTGCTTTATACAAAAGAGCAAATGATGGAGGAGGTGAGGAAGATGTAAAGAAGCAGCAAAGGCTGATGGGATTATTTAATAGGCAGAGCTGCACTTTCAAAGCAGTTTAACTTTATCCCGCACAGCTCAGGTAATAAAGACTGGCGATGAGATAATACCGCAGAGTCATTCATTTGTGATTTATAGGCAATCTCTGGTTTCATTCTAAAATGGACTGAGCAAAATTTACAATTGCGATTGAGTCATGCGTATGGTGTGGTTGTAGATTACCGGGAAGTGACATCATGATGATAAAGAGAGGTCATGCTGACATAATGAGGTTTTCAATAAAAATAAACATTTAACCTGTGCATTATGTAATTCGAAGGCTCTAAACTTTCAATACATTTTTAATGCAAATCCTTCAGGTATCGGTAATTAAAGTCAGTTGCCACCAACTGTGTATATTCAGAATCGGCAGTCCTGCAGGAGGGCCTACTGGTAGTCCATAATGGGCTCTATCTTTATGACGTGTCTGTGTTGTCCATAACTACAATCACATTCCACTTTTCATTGTCTAACCTGCAAAAATACACAATATATTATTATTAGCAGCTCTTCCATCCAGGCCTGTGATAAATTATGCTTTGTTGTGGGTATGGTAAGCTGGTCCCCGGTTTTTGAAGCTGGCACTGGCCAGAAATATGTTTTACTACATGTAGGATCTGCAACGGTGGTGCTGTCGGCCTAACACCCCAAGATGCCCCCGCCTATTTTTTTTTCAGAAACAGAACTTGCTAACCATTTGAAAGCTACAAGTATGTGTAGTGAATAGGATTTGTTGGGTCTTAGTGTCTGTACAAAAGTATATAATTTCGTGTGAAATGCACACTGTGTTGCACTCACTGACCTGGTACAATTGTTTTACCCTGGGAAGTCATAGTGGGGCTAAGCCAGTGCACCTAGCCTTTATAAGGGGGGTCTCTAGGTGGAACTGGCTGGCTGTTGCTGAGCAAGGAACTCACCAACAATGAATGCCGGCAATTAGAAGGACAGCATGGCTGCAGGTAGGGGAAAACATATCTTGCAAACAACAGGAGCCACTAATCATAATGGCCCCTGGAATGGGTGTAAGAAAGACTACCACTGTTTGCTTTACTGTTGCTGCCTGGACACTGAGCACTTCTGTGCAGCATTTCAACTCAGCTACATTACTATTAAGTACGGCATTGAAAAGTCTCTAGCGTGGCCTGTGATAATCTGTCTTCCTTATGCCTGTAGGCAGAAGAGATGTTATACACTTCAGACGTTGCTGCAAATTTTTGGACCAGTCACCACACAGCTGGGAACATAGGTGAATAAAAGGTATAGCAGATAGGCAAAGGCCTTTGTATTCGCACAGCATGGTAATAAAATAATGCCACGCATTTCATTAGTGCTCTGGCGGGCAGCTCCTTCTACCACAGCAATCAGAGCCGCTATAGAGGAGTTGTGCAATGGATCTGACATGTCCTATGATGCTTCATTCATGCGTCTGCAGGGGCCATGCACTGAAAATGCTGGTTTGGAATACCCCACTTCTACACAAATATGATTATTTACATTTAATATTACATTGGATAAATATTATAAGACCGTAGAGCACTCTGAGGCCAATAGAGATAAACTTTTCACTGTGGTTTACCAGCTAGTGTGCCTATTTCTAATCTAGTGTTTATATAAAACAGGGGTGTGGGCAACTATATGGCAGATTAAGTTTAATGTTGATAAATGTAAAATAATGCACATTGGGGTTATAAATAGGCAAGCAGGCATTACAGTAGGCAATACACATTAATGGGAACTCCCCTAGGGAAGTCAGAAATGGAAAAAGACCACAGATTGAACAATATATTGCAATGTCAGGCTGAGGCAAGCAAAGCTGGCAGAGTACTGTCATGCATTAAAAATGGAATGGAATGTAGGGACAAAGCAATCATTTTGCCACTTTACAGATTACTGGTTCGGCCTCATCTGGAGTATGCGGTCCAGTTTTGGTCACCAATACACAGAAAGGATGTCCTTGAGCTGGAAAGAGTCCAGAGAAGGGTCAACTAAACTAATTAAGGGGATGGAGGAACAAAGCTATGAGACAAGGTTACTAAATTTAAACACATTTACGCTGGAAGTGAGGAGATTAAGGGGGGACATGATTTTGATCTACAAGATGTTGAATGGTGATAGCAACATTATCAATAAACTTTTTACTGTAAACTCCATAACAAAGACTAGAGGCCACCACCTAAAACTGGTGGAGAAAAGATTTAACCACAAGGGGCGTAGGGGCTTCTTCTCAGTATGAGCGGTTAGGGTCTGGAACTCGCTGCCACAAGCAGTGGTATCAGCTGAGAGTGTTGAATAATTCAAAAAGCATTTGGACAACTTCCTCAGAGAGCGCAACATACAGGGGTACAGGTACCCTTAAAAACAAGATCACACAGGGTCTTGCACACACGCATACACATGCAGAATCACATACATACACGCAATGGGTTGAACTTGATGGACCTGTGCCTTTATTCAACCTCAAATACTATGTAACTATGTAACTATATATTACCGGTACAACAAAGGTACAACATACAGGAAACCTTTCAAAGCTGAAACTAAAACGGCAACAATTTGTTTCATAAATGATAAATACTAAAATACACAGATGCAATGGTACTTGTTTTAGGAATCAGTTGTAAGAAAGCATCACTGCATAGAAATTCTGTATGTGCTGTATTAAAGCTGCAGTCCTTTTGTACAGATTGGTATACAAAACAATTTTTTTTACGATTAGCAAATATGGTAAAATATATTAACAGCCAAACCTGACCAAACCTGAGTTAAATGCGATATTCCAAAGGTGTTCATGGAATCCAGGATAAAACACACAAAATAATCAAATGAACTGTAAAGGTTAAGAGAATATATTTCAAGTGTAACTCTTTGTTGAGAAAAGAACAATCCCCTCTGGTTAATACATGTGCATTGTAAGGATTTTAACAAACTTGCAGATCCCTACCTTTTTCTGTTCTGAAGAAATAGTTGTTTCTTTCACCTTGTCCTTTGCAGACTGATTCCTGAATGGGAGGGTCTGGGCTCGTTATAATCAGCTGGTGCACTTTCTGTGTTCTAATTAGGAAAGCTGCATCCTTTGAAAATTACGTAGCCCTTAGGTAGTATCTCGCCAAAACTAAAATTCCTATTGCAGGGGATACCTAAAACGTAACATACGAAAATCAGTGAGTCAATCACATAAGCAGAAAATTACATTTCTGGGGGCTTTCCTTACCCCAATAGTGTACAGATCGCCTCAAGGATGCCATACTACATTGGAACTTTGACAGTTTTAGAATTACAGCAGAACAGTTTGAAATGGAACAGTCTTTTCAGAACGGTAAATTACAAAATGGCTTGTGTAGTACTATACTGTATATGTGGAGTTCTCCATTAAACATGCTTCTTAAGGTGACATTAGGCCAGACTGTAGCAATTAGACTTCATCTTTACAAACCATGTCCTCTTCTGCCCCTTTACATAAAGCCATTATAAAGAGTTGAGTTTGTGGTGTCACCCAGAGTGATGCTGTGATATCCTAAATAACAGTTGAGCATCTTACAACCAACTCTACAATGCATA